GGCAATTGCCATGAAGTTTCCAGATGGGTTCTATTTAGGTGGCTCATTTGGCCCAATAGTTTCGTGGCAGTCATGTAAGGACATATTTACAATGATCAAATTAGAGATGGCAACGGGCTTCGTGGGGTTGGGGACCCCTTTCCCCTTCCTCTCCCCATCCCCGTCCTCGTCATTCACAAGGACGGGGATCCCTGCGGGGATTTTGATGGGGGGCAGATTTTGCTCCCCGTCCTCATTCCCCACCAAATATCAAATTTTAATCTATCTTTTATAGAGCAGATGGCTTTCAATAGCAACAAAGGAGAAGGGTTTGTGAGCAGTAGCCAGCATAGTGAGCAGCAGCTAGCAGAGTGAGTAGCAATAGAGTGAGTAGCAGCAGAGTAGAAGGGTTCGTGAAGAGTAGAAGGACTCGTGGGCAGCAGCAGAACAGAGCAAATTCGTGAGCAACAGCAGAGCAAAGCAGATTCGTGAGCAGCAACAAGCAGAAGGGTTCGTGGAGAGCAGATTCGTGAGTAGCAGCAGAGCAAATTCGTGAGCAACAGACCAGAGGCAAAAATTGAGACTTGAGAAGGTGAGAGTGAGAGTGATTAAAATGGAGAAATGAATTAGGGTTAGGGTTAAATTTAGGGGAATGAGTTGGGTTGGGTTTGATTAAATTGGATTGGGTTGGGTTTGGTTAAGTTGGATTGAGTTGGGTTAGGTTGGGTTGAATAGTATTGAATAAGTTTAATTTTAATTGGTTTGGATTTGGGTTTAAATTTGTCGGGTAAATTAAATTTAAAATAATTTTTTTTTGGCAAGAATGGATGGAGATCCTCACAAGGTCTCACAGGACGGGAAAAATTCCCTGTGAAATTTCACGAGGAGAAAATATCCATTGTCCTTGTCCCGCAGGGAGGAATATTCCTCCCTGCCTCGTCCCCGTGGCAGGTATCCCTGTGGGGACTGTGGGAAACTGCCATCCCTTGATTAAATTGTCCAAATCCCCTGTTAACTCTCAATTAAATAGCAGTTAAAAAAAATTTTGATCTGCTTGAAAGAATGCTTTTCTGGTTGTTTATGTATAGGGGTATTTTTTTTTATTTTTTTATTAATTTAAGATGTTTAAAATTAATTTTTTTTTAAAAATATTATTTAATGTATTTACTTTTATTTTACATTTATTTTAAAATAATTTCAATTACAATATATATTACAATAAATACACTTATTAAGTAATTGTTAATTACAAATAAATATAAAATTTTATAAATTAATTATTA